ATGCGCTATAAAAGAACAAGCATTCTGGGGCACAGTGGCGGCGCGAATAGGTTGGGAGCATGGGGGGTGGGGATTCCAAAAATGGGAGTAAGGTCTCCAGAAATTAGCCCCTGACTCTCCGAGCTCAATTTTTTATAAGTAAAAACCAACAACAGATATAAAAAGATGTTTTTTCCATGGAAGCAGAGAAGTTCACAGCGTTTCTCAGCTATAGTGGCTGCGAACGCCGACCGAAGGAAGGCGTGAGCATTGCTTTGAGTTCAGAAATATTTTTAGACCTCTGGAACGTTTTGCCTTGTATATATATATTAGATTACGAACCTTACACATGAAAACAGGAAAACATCAAGAAGATGGCTTAGTTAGGCATTGTCTTCGGTTTAAAAGTCACGAAACGGCGTTCAGTAGCGCAGATCCAGGTTATTAAAGTCAAGGGACCGAGCGAGTGGAGACGAGCGTTACCTTGTTCTCACCATTCCTTACATGCTGTCCGTTACGGATAGCAAGTCTTTTGGAAGAAAAGAAATGAATATTTATCCATAACCCTAGTGTGAATGTACATCATCATCATCACATTTTCTTTCTCTAACAAGTAAGAACAAACACAACAAATAGTTTTAACAAGTAAAAGACACCATAATGCTGCATCACTTGTATAGCCAATCATATTTGAACGAAGAGACTTTTTTACTTACAGTATATGTGTTTCATTTCGACAGAAACTATGGCCATCTATCAGTATTACGAATAGATTAACTTAGAAACAACGTTTATAGTTACTAAACTATAGATAGTAGAGGCAGAGAAAGAAAAAAGCTTATTCATATAATTATGAATGTACTAGGTAAATGAACCCTATTCTTGTCTGTAAAAACAGAACGAAAACTCTTTATATCCGTTACGGTCTCCTAGTAAATTCTTTTACGAACTCCCTGACAATGTCATTCCATTCTTCCGGTCTTTTTCTGTAAAAGTACCCTTAGACTTACATTCCGAACACCCGACCTTGTTCATTCCGATCTCTGAACACTACATCAGAGATAGCAAGGAGCATTCTATTTCGAACATGCGGTCAAACCATTTCGATGTTCCTGCTGTTCTATTACGATCTTCCGTACAAAAATGTTTACGAACTACCGTCATACAATTTTTTGGGACAAAAATTCATTTTCGAACACCTGGACACATGTCCGAAGTTCGGAATATGTTGAGACGAAAACTAGATCACCTGTTAAGAATGTGTATTGATAATGCTGTGTTTTATTTGTATACAAAACTGTAGAATTAAGAGCATAATTTGCTTCCCGATAACAGTTTACTGCCATAAAAACACAGACTTGTATACAGCAACTAAATGCGTACAACGAAACCACTTAGTTACACTTGTCTCGAAATAGTCATATCCTGACGATACCCATAGATTATACTTCTGAATATGGAATACATTCAGCTTTCAAATGATGAAGGTACACCATCAGTGGAAGACAAATGGCATTCATTACATGTAAATGAAGGTAAGAATCAACCGCAAAATGGGACGCCATACAGAAACATTTCCTAAGCAGTGTGAGAGAGGAGGGCTTTGAGCCCGTGTCTTTCATTGTACTCTGAATGCTTTTACTATTTTTCTGCCCAGAAAGCATTACTCCATTAACTCCTGATTTCGTCATTATATCTAAACACACTTCGAATACGAAGACTAAGTGTAAAATCAAATTTACATTGTCAAAATTAAATCTTGGACTAAAAAGCAAAAAATCTTTTACTTCACATAACTGAAGTATAATTTTCTCCGGTTGCAGTTTCATGCTAACTATAACCAGTTATTTAAGAATTCCATGTCGCTTTTGATTTAATTCAGCATTGGCATCTTATACACAAGAATACCTTTGGAGGCTAGATGAACAAATTCAAGTTCCTGAACAAGATTCAATCTTACGTAATGTAGTATTAATATTGACAGTCACAAACAATGATACATCTCTGTCTATCAGACGAATGAAAGTAGCACTAAATAACATAATTCAAAAACATTCAATATTACGTACTCGACTCAAATATAACACAGCGGAAGATTGTTTAACACAATCAATTAAGCCTTTAAGAGATGAAGATCAATATTATTCATTTCAAATAAGTACAATAGCAAGACAAGAAGAATTAGGAAATATTTTACGAGCAGAACAAATGTCAAGATCCTATTTTAATTTAGAGCAAGGTATTGTTCTAAGATGTCATTTAATTCGATATTATTTAAACAATAACGTGAATGATGATCTTTTGCTCGATGGAGATACAATACTATTTAGTTTTCATCGCTCGGCGTTTGATGGTGATTCTGCTAGTATATTTCTGCATGATTTTCAATTAGCTTATATGAACGAACTAAGTGACAATGATGATGCTCTAAAATATATTGATTATTCAATTTACGAGCGAGAAATATTAATGACAGATAAGAAAGATGAAGCTGTTGCATATTGGAATTCTATATTAGATGAATATAATATAGAGAAACAACTCTTGTTACCCTTTGATCATTCGAATAGAGACCGACGGACAGGTCACAGTTCATCAGTGCACTTCGAATTAGATGATGATTTAGTACAGAAAATGATTTTATGTAAAGGTCAAATGAATGTATCTATATTTCAATTAGCTTTATCAGTTTATTATGTTTATCTTTTCAAATTGACAAATAGTCAATATAACGATATATGTGTCGGTAGCGTCATCGCCAATAGGTATCGTCCTGATTTGAAATCGCTGATTGGAATGTTTGTTAGCGTCTTGCCCTTCTGTTTGAAATTCGATCCGACTTTGTCGTTTTCTAATATCCTCAAACACGTGCAACAATTATCTGTAAAAATATCAAAATATAGTTATTTACCTAACAAACAGATTAGTTCATTACTTCGACCCCATGCATCAATATTACCATTTCCACAAACAATGTTTTTATTTCAGCCAAGCATCGATGACCAACTGAGTTTAGATCATTGTAGATTGGACCAACATCTTTCTCTTAGCACATCTATATATACATCCAACTTTGATTTATCCTTATTAATGAACTATAATGATAGAAGTAGTAAAGCAATGACATGCTTATTTGAATACTCTACTGATTTATTTCAGCGATCGACGATCGAAACAATATGTCAGAGATTTCAGGTTT